CAATCCGACGTAAATTTCATGAGTATATTTAAAATACGTAATATACGATTTCGACGTAACATTCGGGAACATTTTGCATCGCTGCTTAATACGAGGGAATATGTTGGTGAAGTCTAACTCCAGTCAGACCGATCAATCTTACGATTTTACGTTAGTATTTTTTATCGGAAAGAAAATTCATTGACTTGTTGAAGTTTATCCATTCCTTCGAAACGTTATGTCAGTCAGTAATTCAGTTTCGAATAGTTTCACGGTTGTGAAAAGACAAAAAGGAATTTTACTTTATTGGTTGTGTCATGTCAGTTTTTAGGTTGACTATTTTCGAATGACTGAATTTACCAATCAAATTGTTGCAACATAAAGTAACCATGTAATAATGAGTCGTTTCTATGAAAGAAACTTTAAAAGAAATCGTTCAAAGTATCGTTGTTAACTTTCCACGAGTTCCCTATTTTTGTTGAAGAAAGAAAGAAAAAAAGGGTGGGAGGGGAAGAAAGTTTTTTCTTTACCTTTTCTAACTCATCGTCATAGTCGTTGTCGTCATCGATTAATTCAGTATCGTCGTATTAACCCCGAAGTCTCGAGTGCTATGATAAATCGTTTCCCGTCGCGAATATATTCGTCTTCCTTTCCCTTTTCCCTTTTTTCTTTTCTTTTTTACTCTTCTGAATACAGTCCCCGACAAAAGAATCATCTCTCTCCTATCCGCTTTAGCGATATTCTTTTACGTAAATCTAAAACTCTAGCTGAATCATTCTCCCTACTGTAAGGAAACACTATTCACGTTCGAATATTGTGGCAAACCGAAGCAAGACCCCAACCTTCCTACCCCCCAACCTTCTCCACCACTACCACCACCACCTATTCCCTATCGTTTCCTTCGTCCCAACTCGGTGTGTGTCCAATAAAGGTGAAATTGCGAAGCCCAAACACGCGGAATATACGCATTGATGTTTAATGCAAAATTCAAATCGTCCTCGAGCCTGACGGCAAGCTGGGATAGGAGTCAACCAACAACAGCACCAGCACCAGCACCAGCAGTAGCAGTAGCTACCAACGGCGAGAGCTGGTTCGAAGATATCCGTTCGTCGTTCTCCGAACCCTCCCACAACGAGAACCTCCCAACCCAGTTTCGGGGTGCGGTGAGGGTTGGGGAAGGATGGAAGAATCTCCGTAGGAGGAACGACGGGCTGCCGTTGCCAGCGTCGGGTAACATATGACGCAATCTTGGCAGGTATTGTCAGGAAACTGGCGACATCTTTAATGTATGAGGTAGAGGTGACGTGGGGTAAGCTGTAGAGAAGGAGTAGGAGAAGTAGGAATAGGAGTAGGAGTAAGGAATAGTAGTAGGAGCTGCCACACGGGGTAATTGTCACCGTGCAACACTTCTCCACCTCTTTCTCTTATATACATGCATATATCTATGTATGACTTTTCTTCGTGAATATGTGTACTTTATATAAGTATATATATATATAGGACATACGCGTATATGTGTTCTTTCTCATACACGTATGTAGTTACTGCTGGTACTGCTGCTGATGCAGGTGGTGGTGCTGCTACTAGCTGCCTGTGAGAATCCCATCGTGGAAAATTACGCGAATTTATACCTCTAACCTTCCAGCACCGACTCGTTTCAAGCTCATCCTATGAAGTCCATGGTACGATATCTATCTACCCATATCTATCTACCTACCTAGCTAGTACTGCTACTGTCTCTCTTTTTTTTACGAAGCTTTTGCTCTCTCGTTCACCGCGAATTTCACTTCCTGCCGTCGCTACGAATGAACACCCTAAGAAATAAGAAATAGAAAAAAGGGAAATAAAGTATATACCGTGTCTTCTGTGAGTTCAATTGAGTTCAATGCCGCTCTAAAGGAGTATTTATTTTTCCCTACCACCCCCCCCCCTTTTTTTCTTTCTCTTTCTATTCGTTATTCACCTTTTTCTTTTTTTTTTTTATTCGATTTATCTAACTTTTCGAGATAATTCTTCGATACCGCATGAATGGGCTTATCGTGTCGATAAGCTATTTGGATTCAATCCTTTTTTCTTTTTACACATTGCAACAGGTTCAAAAGTTACGATCCACTGAAAATGGCTTCTATCGTGAAGCTTCATGATCTAATAATATTTCAACACGATTACAACGAATTTATTTAATATAAATAATAATATTTAAATAATACTATCCTAGACGAAAACTCTCTCTCTCTCTCTCGAACTTTGTACTCGTTGAATTTGTACAAATGACAAAAACAATATTCCCCATTGTATCCCGTCGGCTCGTAGAAATTTCTCAAGGAATACAAGCAACGTCCCAGGAAAGGTCGTGCGCGTAAATTAGAAGACACCCTGTACATCCTGTACGCTAGCCAAATTACATCGGTCCCAGGAGATATTTATCTCTTTCTCTCTTTCTCTCTCATTCACAGATTTGTTTTCCTGTCTCTCTTTCTATCTTTTCTTTTCCTCTTTCTTTTTACATTACCTACCAGCGTGTGACTGATCACGATACTCCCCCCCCTCAACTCATCCTCCTCCTCCTCCTTCTCCATCCTTCCTTCTTGTTTTTCTCCTCTGTTTTTGTTTTACTCCTTTTTCTGGCCCTTCTTTTTTCTCTGAAACACCCACGTCGACGAAGAACAGCAATGACGGTAGAAACAAGGAATGGCAATTAGGTATCGTCCTTGCTCGTCTCGTCCTTCTCATTTCCGTCTACTTGCTGCTTTTGCATTTGAATGTAAATCGCTAATGTCGATGACACCTGCAGGATCGCGGAATTATTAGGGTTAACGTAAAAAGAGATAGATAGATAGATAAAGAAAGAGAAAGACCGAGAGAGAGAGAGAGAGAGAGAGAGAAGGATGAAAGTATAGTACGTGATCTGTGTAACTTAAAGCCAAGGATAAAAATCGTGAAATCTCTTCTGATTCTTCGCCCGGAAGAAATGTAATTTCCTATGTAAGGAGAAAATATATAAAAGAGCAAGAAACGAATACGAAATTAACGAGATCTTGGAACAATTCGATTTGAAACGACATCGCCATTACGATTTACTTCGATGAAAGAATRAGAGAGAGAGAGAGAGAGAAAAAAAAAGGTCATATTCATTCGTCTAATTATACTCTTTTTCTTCCTTTTCATTTTTTCATCTTTTGTTATCTTATTTTTATTATATTATAGATAATTACGCGAGAAATTCAAATCTCAATGAAATTTGATGAAATTTCAAACGAATCACACACACACACTCATACTATATCGTTTTATTTGTTTAAATGTATGTACTATACGTCGATTAAATAAATATTCTATATCTCTTCTATTTTTTTTTCTCTCGTCTATGATTAATCATAGTTATTTCCATTTACATTGTAATTTAACTGACGCGACGGCTTCAGTCAACCCTTTTTCGAAACGCCACTAATCTGATGCTAGTAAAAGAGCCCACAGAGAATATAATGAATTCGCAGCTGTGCCACAAAACGTTTTGTATATTTGCATTAGTTTCTATCTCTCTCTATCTCTTTCTTCTCATTCTCTCATTCTCTCCCTCCCTCTCTCTCTCTCTTTTAGGTTGGCAGTAATTTATTCAGCGTGTTGCTTAATGCATCGTATTTACAAGGACATCTTTCTCCTCGTCATCATCGTTGTCTCTTTTTCCAAACTCCAAGGACTCATAGTAGGATCGCGAGTAAAGGATTGAAAAGAGAAATGGAAGAGACCGGAGAAATGCTTTTATCTCCCTTTTTCAATCCTTTCCCTTTTCCCCCTCTCCTAAACAAGTTTTACCATCCCTCTGTTACATTCCATGATCCTGCAATTTACAACGTTTCTCGACTGGCGCGAACGACAAGCATAAATTTGTTTAAACGAGTCCGTTAATGAATACGACGTATCCCAACTGAAAATGTGTTTTTACCCTATTTAGAATGATTCTCCATTAAGTTGTCTAATTTCCCGCTAAATTGTTTTCCAATTGTTTTCTACGTTTACCCCTTACCCAAACTCTCCACCACCACCCCCTGTCTCGTTCATTCTTCCTAAAAAATTTTTTATAAGGTTTTGTTTTTAAATTAGACAACTGGTACACTGTGGGTGTTATCTGATAAAATATTTTCCATTATTGTTAACATTATTTTTAATTTATCATTCATCATTGTTAATTAATATATATATATATATATATATATATATTTTGTTGTTGTTGCAACTCTACATTAAGATATANTATATATATATATATATATATATTTTGTTGTTGTTGCAACTCTACATTAAGATATAAAATTAATTTTCATTTATTAAATAACATTGAAAAATTATCATTCATCATTGTTAATTAATATATATATATATATATATATATATATTTTGTTGTTGTTGCAACTCTACATTAAGATATAAAATTAATTTTCATTTATTAAATAACATTGAAAAATTATTGTCGTTAATTTTTATTTCGAAACGATATAAGAATAATATTGTCACGGTTGTTGCTCATTTAAAAAAAAGAAAAAGAATGAAATAAAAGGAAGGAAAGGTAAAAAAAAAAAAAAGAGAAGGAAATAAATTATTCAAATGAAATGAAAATCTAGTAGTATGTACTGGATGTTTTGCTGGCAAGATACAACACAACGTACATATTTACACACACACACACACACACACACACACACACACACACACACACACACACGTTATTCCATGGTCATGTTAATTTAATTATCGAATTGAAACGCGCGTGCCGCTAGTTTTCGTGCGGGGGCCGAAAACTTTGCTTTCGTCGGTTTTCGAGCTTTCGCAAAATTTTACGTAGGTCTCACTCATATCTATGTTTGTCATCGTAGTCAGTCGAGGTTTCACATTCAAAGCGTCTAGACGGGTGTGTGTTCTCCTCTCTCGTGATTCTATCTACACGTATAACAATATACACACATATTTATATATATATTTATATATATATATATTTCTTTATCAAACGTACCTCGTTAGTCTCGAATTGTAATTAATTAAATAATTATTCGTAGTGAGATAAAATTAAAAACAAAATAGAACAAAACAGAAAATAACGTTGACAGTGTTTTCGAAATGATTATGGTGCAGTGCATGAAGGACGGCCAAACAACGACCTTAACTAGGATCAAAGAAAAAAGGAAAAGGACACGAAATGTTCAAGCAAAGTCTAACCCTTTGAACAAGGTTGGACGTTTAGACGAAGATAGGTTGTGTGTTTCTAAAGCTCGATTAACAATACTTGCGTATTCTTTCTTGCACGTATTAACAATGCACATACATATACATATATACACATATACACGTGTTTCTGTCTGTTATTATTGTGTTTGATATCGACACGTTTACCCTTAACCAGAATAATACGTATATCTCGTGTGCGTTATATTGTGTTATATGGTAACGATTCGACAGATAGATCAAGAACAAATGCCCCGTCAAATATTTGTTGTTTCACAATTCCACCCCACACAGGACGACACCCCCCCTCCCCCTCCCCCTCCCCTCATCCCCATCCCGATCCCGTGGTAACTATATTCGATTGACGTTTATTTCATTGATTAATGACACGTTCATTTCTATCATCTTCTTTCTATTTCTCTTTGTCAAACAAAGTTTTTGTTAACTGTATCTTTTGGTTTGTTTTCTTTTTGATGTTGTTGTTGTTGTTGTTGTTGTATATGAAAAATAATGAATTATATATAATGTGTTGATTTTTAATATAGTTCTAATTATTATATTATTTATAATTATTACGAAAACTTGTTAACAAACTTGACAAGATTAGAAACACAAATCTGATAATTCAATCTAACCAAGTTGCTAAACTAAAAGATTACTTTGGTTTATTATATCCAATACTTTGTCGATATTTTTATGCTAATCAATAGTTCATAAGATTAATTATTAAATCGTATCTTAAAATAAATTATTATATGTAATATATATATATATATTTAATATATCATATAATATATAGAACACACACAATTTAGGTCTTGTTTTTTCTTAATTATATCGTGTTGACACGTGATATTGATTCAAGTATTAAAAATTTTCTACGATTATTAATACCCATCTTTTTCTTCTTCTTCTTCTTCTTCTGTTAATGTAATATATGTATATATATATATATATATATACATGTTTATAGTTATCTGTGTGTTAAAATACAAGCATGTATAGCTTGTCGAAACTTCATCCGGGTAACCGCGGAATCACGCGCCACTATAGATTAAAGTTGGACCACGTATGCGAGATGAGTCGTCGTCGTTGGTTGGTTGGTTGGTTGGTTGGTAGGACACGCGTTTGAAATTCGAAACCCGACACCCTGAGTTAGTCGAGAGTTTCCTCGATGAAATAGAAAGAGAAACCAACTAAATCCCATACGTGTGTGCATACAACACTGAGAAAGACGATGGAAATCATCAACGTATCCTTTCCTCTTCTACCACCACTCCCCTCTCCCCCCTCTCCCCCAATAAGTAATAAACAAGTTCAAAGTTGTTTTTATTATCATGTCGCGAATGAAGTTTTTATTTTATTTTATCGATTTATTAATCGATCGGATGAAACTAAGAACGATTTATTCTTCTTTCTTTTTTTTTTTTACTTGAAGTTTTCACTTCTTTAAAATTGGGTGGGGTTATTTGGATATTGTGAAACGGAAGTGGGTGAAACCGATGAAACTAAAATGAGTCACTAAAAAGAGACAAACAAACATATATATAGGAATTAGAGTGAGAGAGAATGAGATAGAAAACAGTATGCATTTGTTTCTTATTATTTCGGTCTCCTCTTTGTGCCGTGTTTCGTAGCTTCGTAACATCCCCACTCTTGGCTACTAAACATTGTACATATAGATGTGCTTGTGTGTGTGTGTGTGTGCTTGCATATTACGAAGCATAGCAGACTCATATTATCTCAATACCAATATACATAAAAACATAAATTAGTTCTTTGATTGGACACTAGGTGACAAATACCATTTGCCTTTTTTCGATAGAAACTCGAAACTTGGTTTCTTGAAGGTTTCATTTCTACCGTGTTGTGATCTACACAAATCTGTTTTTTTTTGTTCTTATTTATTCTTATTTATAATAAATATTCTTTTTATATTTAATGTTGTTCTTTTTCTTGTATCTTTTCTCTTTCTTGCTCCAATATAATCCTAAATCATCGTTTGTAACTTTTTCAATTACGCGAAAGGTGTATAATGATAAAAAGTAGATAACAAAAATTTCTCGTAAATGAGAAGAATGATATACATATTTTTTTTGTTCCTCCTAAATTTGAAATTTTTTATTCGTGCAATCGATTTATCGTTGTAAAAGTGAACAGCATAGTACGTATAATGTAATAGCTTTGAAAGGTTCGTTCGTTCATTCGTTCATCGTTGAGAGTAACTACCACGATTCTTTTCGATCGAACGGCAACTCGAAAATCAGGAAGAATCGTATTCTGATATTATCAGGGAAACAATAGTCGAGTTGCTCGGTAACGCATCGTGTTCCATTATCATCCTCCTACCTCCAACCCCCTACTCCCTAACCCCCCACCTTTTCTACCACCTTTCTCTCTGGGATTGTATCCATTTATTGCAACGCGATTAATGGTATGAGAAACGAGAGATAGAAAAGGAAAAATATATATATATATAGAGAGAGAGAAAGCAAAGTGATGGAAAGAGGTGTATGGTGGTGGTGGTGGTGATGGTGGGTTGGGTAAGCCAACGTTGCGTTGTCCACGTTCGCGGAAAAAGCGCTACATTTGACACATTACTCCCGGAAAATTTAATAAAACTCGAGCGACAAATTTTTATTGGTACTTCGGTCCGCTCGGTAGCCCTCCATTACCGCGATATTATCGCGACACGTTACGTGTACGTGTTCTCTATCACATTTCACCACCACCACCACCACCACCACCACCATTACCACTACCACTACTAACCATCATTCCTTCCTTTTTTTCCCTTTCTCTCTTTCTCACTTTGGGCCAATCCAAATTATGTTCCTAATCCAATTACACCAGCAAAATGGAGATCTCGTTTATCATTTCATCCAACCAAAGACGTTCAAATGATAATAGTAATAATAATATCAACAAATTATTAAAATTATTTTCTATTGTCAATTATTATTATTATTATTAACTGGCATTAGGAACTGGAAAGTTCATTGCCGCAAATATCAAATCCCGGGGCCATTGTTCCTGTCCCTGAGCACGGTCCTTCCATTCGCGGTCTTCGTATCCTATTTCTTTCAGGTCCCTTCCAAGCGAGGGACTAGTTTACTTCCGGAAAATTTTACCCTAGTAGAATTCATGGTGATTTTCTTTTGTTTCTTGATAAAGTCTTTTTACGGAGTGGGGTAATCAGACCTACACCCAATCCCCGAATAGGAGGGCCAATTCTAAGTCGGCTGATCCGCGACTACTTATTCAATTTATTCACAGCTAACCTCCGTTTCTATGCAAGGCCAAGAGGCCCTTCCTCTATCCGCAACCTGAGGACGCACTGTGTCGTGGTGACTGGGACCCACCTATCCCGGGGACCACTACAAACTAGTTTTCCTTACCCGAGACTAGCAGCTGTTATACTAAGACAAATTGTTAATTATACGTACGTTTATTTGAATTTGATATAATTTAATTGTCAATTCAATCCTATTTTGATATTTGATGATTAACAATAAATCTTAAATGAATTTAATTGTTATCTTCGTAAAATTGTTATCTTTATTTTTAATGGAAACTATTCTTTTTAACACAGACACGTTATCATTTCGTAACATTCATAAAATGTGTGTGAGAAAATATAATGTTTATATTTTATATATACGTACAATGTTTTATGTATAACACCATGTATTATTAACGTTTTATAATTATACATATATATCATACAATTATTCAATAAAATCGTCAAAGACGTCTGCCTCTAATATTTCTCTAAATAAAAAAAAAAATAAAAAACAAAAAAAAACCAAATGCAAAAAGGAAAGGAAGGAAGAATAGTAGACACCATTTTCCTTTAATACGGTTTCGTTTAAAATTCGTTTATCACGTGAGTGGAACGGAAAATTCTACTTAATCGTATTGCCCCACACGTATATATATATTCTACTCGTGTTATTTTCTTTCGTGTTATTTCACGAATGACGCTTGTTATTACAACGCGAAACCATGGAGAAAGTTCGGGGACCATTTTGTGGCAAAATATATATACATATCTATATACATATAGAAAGAGAGAGAGAGAGAGAGAGAGAGAGAGAAACGTAGCAGATACATAAGAGAAACTAGGTAACATTCACGTTCCAGGTTGTTCGATAACGTGCGACGAGAACATTTGTGCGTGCACCAATGACGACGAGTTTCTACCTTCGAACCCGCAGCATCGTTTTACTAACGAGTTGCAAACAAGCAAAGTCGCCGACGGTCGGTTAGTTCGTTGCTAGTTTTCTCTCTCTCTCTCTCTCTCTCTTTCTCTATCTCTTTTACTTTCTTTCTTTCACCTCTGTTTTCCCATCGATATTCATCTTTCATTTCTACCAACGAGACAAACCTTGTTCTTCTTCTTCATCATCCTTTTCCTTTACCCCCCACTACTTTCCTTTTACTAGCCCCCACTACTTTTCCTTTACTCGCTCCCCCCCCACTACTTTTCGTTCTTCTTTCTTTTCTCTTATTTAAATTTCTTTGCTTTTTTTTTTCCTACTCTTCTTTGATCATCCGTTTCTTCTTCTTCTTCTTCTTCTTCTTTTTCTGCTTCTTCTACTACTTCTTTTACGTAAAACTCATTAATTTATTCAACAAAATTTACTTTTCTCTTCTTAAATGATTTTTCATTCCACTCTCTCTCTCTCTCTCTCGAAAAAGGTTTTTATCTCTGTTTCTTCGAATTAACTTAAAATAATGGAAGAATGTCGTCTCGTGGGTCTTGAGAATCAGAGACGAGAAGGAGAAACGGCATAACTATCAAATGATAAAAACGTAATTCCCCCGTTTGAAGATTTTTACGTTATCTTATCGCGACGAGTAATCAATTAGCTGATGAAAATTCGTAAGAGATGATTTTAGATGGAAAGAAGAAGAAGTAGAAGAAAAAAAATACGGGTGTACAAAAAGAGAGAGAGAGGGAATGAGTCGCTGTGGTGAGGACAGGGGGGTGGGGTTGAGAGAGAGAGAGAGAGAGAGAGAGAGAGAG